AACAAAAATGAAAAGGTCCAAATCCATGCTGCTAAAAATGACTCTGCATTTATTTTATTTTTTTCAATATTAATATTTTTGAGCAGAGTCAGACAATTATTTTAAAATTCATTTTTAATTAATTAATAATTGTTAATGGAAAATACTAGCAACAAAATCTGTGACAAATATGCAATATATTCTGATGCTTGTGACACAATCCACAACACCTTGTAATAACAGAAAGTGAAAGCATTATCTATCTCAGACTAATCTATATCTCTCACTTCAGGAGCTTCAGAGCTTACACTTTCATATTTCAGTTTTCTAGTTGGAACTTGGAATTCATGCTGTTTCCAGGTTTATGTTGTAGCAACTATAAATCTCTCTTTCACGAGTTCACGCTTACATATAATTAGCTGAAGCATGGTAATGCATATTTGGCGTGCTGTCCGGGGAAGGGCTCCGAGCTCGGGAATGGCCCGAACCTAGAGTACCCCCCCGTATAAGTGTAGTATGAACTACAGTGAGGAGATGGGGTGGAGGAGGGATGCTGATAAACCGTCGATGGATAGAGGCAAGTCAGCTGTATTTATATCAAGGTGTTGATTAACTTGAGTGCGGTCCACCCTGTTAATTAGGCTAAGTATCTGACACGCTCCTCCCGAACCTTGTTAATAAAACACCATATAGCAGAAAAGGAGACATAAACATCAGTGAAGCATTGCCTGAAGCTTGGAGACAGACTTATTTACACATCACATATCTAAGAGACTCTAAAACGGTTTTATTCGGTTTGAAGGACAGATCTATTCATCAGAGATAGATCACGACTGAAACTGGCAGGTTAACAACATACAGTCTGGTATCATTGGTCAGTCAGCGCAATTTGAACGTATCCACATTTGCCAGGCCAGTGAACTTCCCCAGGAGAGCAGAATTCAGCAGACTCTCATGTTACATAAGCATTGATTTTCTTGCCTGATAGGGACCATCTGATCTAATTATTTGCTTGACATTTGGCATTACACTTCTATACTTAATACGGAAGCAGGAGATAAATCTTCTCACTTTACATCCTTAAAAATATTTTGTATAAACAGGGTCATAGACTATCAACTGCATAACTATACTACGGCTGTCTTAAAGATGAATCAGCAGCTAACTGCAGGTCATTCACAGGTTAGTACTCAATGACTTAAAGCAGAAGAAACCTACACTCTAAAAAATGCTGGGTTAAATACAACCCAGTGCTGGGTAAAATAGGGACAAACCCAGCAATTGGGTTGTTCTGACCCAGTGGTTGGGTTACTACCCAGAAGGCTGGGTTAAACATTTAACCCAACCGCTGGGTCAAAACAAACCAATTGCTGGGTTTGTCCCTATTTTACCCAGCACTGGGTTGTATTTAACCCAGCATTTTTTAGAGTGTATGGAAGTGTCCTTTGGAAGTTAAATGTATAAGATACTAGCTATATAAAACAGCAAAAAAAAGAAAGAAAGAAAAGCTCAAATAACTGACAGTCATGTCTAAAACCTTATTAAGGAGATGGAAGGATTGAGACATTCATCCCAATAATTATACTTATAACTAGCAGTCAGATTGACTCCCAAAGGAGAAACAGAGATGGAAGCCAAATCCAAAAGCCTCAGGCTAAGGACCCCAGATGAGATAATGCTTGCAAATTTAATTATAATAGTTCTGTCTGAGAAATCGCTCTCTCGAAATTATATTTTTGAAATTATGATTTTGGAAAAAACTAATAAAAAACAGGTATTATCTATATTCAAAGCCCCACGCTATTTGTTCTCAAGTAAAATACATAGGCTAATTTTAACCGGTAATCTGATGGTATATTTTAATTTATAATGGTTTCATATTATTAACTTAGTACATTGCACTAAATATGACTGGAAGTAGAGAATAACATCAGATATTTAGATGCGTTTAGTACATTAAATGTTCTACATGAATCATACTTGGTATTGTCGTAATAGTGCATTCTGAACAATACATAAGCATGTCTAAATGTTGAATCAAGATGGTAAGTATGCATGATATCGCACCAGTACTAGAACAAAGAGCAGGTCCCTATTAGTTGCCCTCATGACTGAAGGTGCTTATGGATGAATCCATCTCATGGCCCCATTGTTTACAATGGCACGATGGTCGCCACAATTTAACCGGTTTTATGGAGAGGAAATGGTTTGTGTTGCAATGAATAATGGTTTAAAAAATCATGAGGTGCTAATAAAATCAAAGCATAGGCTAATATATATATATATATATATATATATACTAAAGTAATCGGCGTAAAGCTAGAATTGAGGTGTAGGCACATTCCTATCTTTCTAAAAATGGCCTCCATTAATCATAATTTCGCTTATATTGAGGTGTCAGTTGTAAATAAACGAGTCTCAATGCCGTTGTTGTTCAGCTGTTTTCATGGTGCGCCATTTAATGCGCATTTCCTTGGACTTCTCATGTAAACATTATGGTTACCTGTATTGCTCTGTTGATATAATTTAACAGTCCCGTCTTTCCGGATCCTCACATCTCCAGGACCCGCAATCCGTCCAGGTGGACTCCCACCTGTCTCTTTCCGTCTCTGTTTTTGAGTTAACCACCTGCAACACTGATAACACACGGCCCAGGCTTGCTCCTCATTGATCGGTTGACTGTACAGAGTTAAAATCTCTTCCAAACACAATTCATCTTCCCCGTCCGTACAATCCAAACTGATGTCTTCGGGTTTCGCCCCATCTCCGGGATCCTGGAGAGCCGACGGTGAGATTAACATTCCTTCATCAGTCATTCTTCTTCTCCGGGCTTCCCGAGAGCAGGAGAGACCGTGTTAGGGTGATGAAGAGACAGGAAAGGTCTGTTTACGTTAGGTCTGTCATCTAGAAGCACGGCGCGCGTCGCTACTTCTGTTCTGAGCTCGAGCTGCTGCTGCTGTTCGGCTCGGAGGCGCTCAGACGACTTTTCCGCATGGTCTCTGAGTCAGTCGTTTCCTCAGTCAGTCCTTTGACAATACAAACTATTAGAGAACATCTTAATCTTAAATGGCGACTTTTTCCACATTTTATCATAATGATAAGAACTTTAGAATTAGCCTAAATGCGTAGCCTTTCAGAAAATGGTTTGTTTACCATGCTAAAAACACAAGCTAACACAATTTAGTATAGGCTACACCAGGGGTGCCCAAACTCGGTCCTGGAGGGCCGGCGTCCTGAAGAGTTTAGCTCCAACCCCAATTAAACACACCTGAACCAGCTAATCAAGCTCTTAATAGGCATACTAGAAACTTGAAGGCAGGTGTGTTGAGGCAAGTTGGAGCTAAACTCTGCAGGACACCGGCCCTCCAGCACCGAGTTTGGGCACCCCTGGGCTACACGTTAAATCTTGATCTAAATTTGTATGAAAACGTTTAATTTAAACGTATCATTTAAATGTTAACCTGTTAAATGTAAAACTATTTGGTATGCAAATATGGTTGGTACCGGTCAAATGGCAAATTAGTAAATAATTCGGCTACTGCACCCCTTTCTATATAAAAAGTTGTCAACTCAAAACTGCAAACTAAATTGAGGATTTAATGTAGGCTATGTAGGGGAGACACAGGGAGGGACCCTATTGGCTTAACCAATTAAAAAAGAGTGACAGCTATGTAATTGAAATGTTAAAAACAAAAAAGGATTTACAGGATCTTTGAGGTTGTAAAGTAAAATAGGCATGTCTGGTTTATAATTTGATTTGCACTCTTGCTAATGGATAGTATATAACCAAACTGGTAAAATCTTAAACAGCAGGTTCTCTTGTTTAAGTTAATATAGGCTACTGTATAATATCCATACAAGCTTTTTTTCTGTATGTTAAATAAGTTAAATATTTCTATAATAAATAGAGGTATTCACTATTTTAGACTGTCTATTCTTAGTGTCTATTTTGTGATTCAGCCTTAAGGTTTGGTAAAACCGTGCACAGGTAATGTCTCAATTTTTAAAAATGTGCTTTTTCCCCTACATTAAATGTTTCATATTAATGTCACAGTGAATGTCTAAAACACAATAGTTCGTTTATTATGTAATGTGAGATAAACTGCTCCATCTAGTGGTTCCAGAGATTTTACAGCATTTAGCTGACCATAGTCACGCCGTTGGGGATTTCAGCATCAGTATTGGTAAGCCACGTCGATTCGGTTTCTCTGGTCCAGCTCTCATGATATCGCGGTTCAATAGCATCTGCTCGACTCCCACCGCAGCCCATTGAAATAAGATGGAGCGCTGCATGCGCTGTTAAATGATGCAGACGAGCGCGCGCGTGTATGCTCTGGTCCCACGCGCAGCTGTGAGTGAATGAGAGCACCTCGTGCATTTGCCAAACTTGAGATTTGTCATCCTTTACGTCATCCGTTTATTGTGATACTGTGTGGAGGCGATTTGCGCCAAAACAAACAAGAGAGGAATACGTTTACGTTTTAGACGCATGTTTTAGCACCAAAAACGTGTTCAAATAAAACTTTGGGTGTACAACAATACACAATGAAGCGCTATATAAATGCATCATTCATTCATTCATTCATTCATGACTAAAAAAAAAATATTTGTAAAAAAAAAAATATATATATATATATATGTAGGTTTATTGCATGTAGATATAAAATATGTTAGTACGTTCAGCCTGATGTTATTTTTATCATGAAAAAGAGGAATTAAAAAGTCATTAAATCAAAACTATAAAAACACACAAATTCTAACATATTTTAAAATATGTCTCATTTTCAATTAATATTTATTTTATATTGGACATCCTTATTTGCCCTTGAATTCGTTTCATAAAAGTACCCTGGTATTACTGTACAGTGGTGCTGCCATGGTACTTTTTGTAAGGAATCAGAGTGATAATTATGATTTGTTTTAAAGCAGTTATCTCCTTCCAATAATTCTGCAGAATCAGTGCATATATAGTAATTTGAATAAAGGTCCTCACCCCTAACAATAAAACAAAATAAACCAAATTACGTGCTATAATTTTATTGACTTTGATTGGTCTTCACATCCAGCATGTGATCATGTATTTCACCTTTTCCAACAAAAACATACAGTAAATACATTTAATCTCACAGCAGAAGTACAAACACAGACAAACACAAACATAGTGGTTCTCAGCAACACAATTAAATATAATCACTGCATTACCCGCACATGGCACAGAGTAAGCACCAACAGAAAATTAAAAACAGAATGCATAACCATTATGTGCTCAGCGAAAGACGAGTGTTCAGTGTTGGACCACACATGCCCTCGAAGGACAGATTTTAAAACCCCTGAAAAACCTTCATTTGTAAACAAATGAAACCAACTGTGAGATTCTGAGACTTCTTATTAGAAATCTAATCTGATCTGCAGGAATGATGAAGGAATGAGGCAGTGAGAGGAAGGTACTAACAGAGAGGTAAAAAGTAAAGATAAACAGTAAGTGTTTAATCAATTATTGGGTACAGTCTCTGTGAAGCAGGATGGAATGGTGCACTGGAATTTGCATTCTATTTGAAGTCAAGGAGGTTGCAGTCGATCTTGTAGTAAACATACGGATAGTACTCTTGCTGGCTGAGATTCAGACCCGGGATGTCCATAGATGCCTAAAACACAACAAAAATGAACAAATCAGCTGTGATGTAGAGATATCTTCAATTAGGCCAGTTTTTTATACTCACCAAAGCTGCATGTATTTGATAAAAAATACAGTAATATTGCCAAATATTATTAGAATTTCAAAGAACTGTTTTCTATTTGAATATATAATTTAAAATGTACTTTATTCCTGTGATGGCATTTCTGTGGTGAATTTTCATTAGCCATTACTCCAGTCTTTATTGCCCTATGATCCTTCAGAAATCATTATAATTTGCGGATTTGCTGCTTAAAGGGATAGTTCACCAAAAAATTAAAATTCTCAACTTCAAGTTGTTCCAAACCTGTATGAGTTTCTTTATTCTGCTGAACACACAAAAAAATATTTGGAAAAATGTGGGTTACCGAACAGTTGCTGGTTCCCATTGACTTCCATCGTATTTTTTTTAATACTTTGGAAGTCAGTGGCTGCCAGCAAATGTTTGGTAACTCAAAATATCTTCTTTTGTGTTCAACAGAAAAAAGAAACGAATACAGGTTTGGAACAACTTGAGGATAATGACAGAATTGACACTTTTGGGTGAACTATCCCTTTAGTTTTATCAATTATTATTGGTGCTCAATTATTAACGGTTCTTATTATTATCAATGCGGTTTAATAATTTTGTGGAAACTGATACATTTTTCTGAATTTTATGATGAATAGACAGTTCAAATGAACAGCATTTATTTGAAATATAAATCTTTTGTAACATTATAAATGTCTTTACTGTCACTTCTGATCAATTTAATGCATCCTTTCTAAATAAAAGTATTAATTGTTTTTATCTTATTTAGCCCAAACATTTGAATGGTAGTGTATCACAAAAACTGCTTTCAACATTGATAATAATACACAAAATGTTTTTGAGCAGCAAATCAGCATATTAGAATGACTTCTGAAGGATCATGTGAGTAATGATGCTGAAAATTCAGCTTTGCCATCACAGGAATAAATTGCATTTTTAAATATTTAATATATTTTAAAATGTAATGTATTCTTGTAATGGTAAAGCTGAATAGAAACCAGTTATTTTAAATTGTAAAGATATTTCACATTATTATTGTCTTTACGGTATTTTTGATCAAATAAATGCAGCCTTGGTGAACATAAGAGACTTCTTTTAAAAACATAAACTTGATTATTACTCACATCAATAACAGTAGCACTGCTGTCCAAGTGTTTGTAAAGGTCCTGCAGAACTTCTCTCAGTTTCTTTACATTCTTCCTGTTGGGCTGAAGCAGCATGGCCTGGAAATTGACTGGCAGCCCATACCTGTTAAATACACATATGCAGGTCTTACATCAGACAATCTACATCTATGTATGAAACAGATTCATATGCTTTAAACAGATTTGTACACACTGTACCTCAAGACTGACTCTGTAAAAACCCGAAGGGCCTTGATGTGTATCCATGCGATGAAAGCCTCACTGAAGTTTACTTTAAGCCAACGCACCAAAGGACCCTGAGGTGCAGAAGCAGATTGACCGTTGTTATCATTACTTATCTTTTCTCTTTCTTATTACTTCAAATGAAGACTAATCAAGGCCCAGGGCCTCTCAAGCTGGCTGTGAGGTTGAGGAGTTTTGAGGTTACTCATCAACAACATTGTGGAGGATTTTATAATGTTCAAAAGTGAATAAAATTTAGTCAGCTGCACGCATACAAATTGCTTTTTCTTGTCAGTGGAGAGGCGAGTCATCTCCTCTTTGTCTGCTTTCATCTCCTCTTCATTGTACTGAAAATCACGCACCATGAACCTGAAAATCAGAAACATAGGGTCAAGGCAAGCTTTCCTCTGATTCAGCTGAAAGACATGATGGCATCAGTGAACACTCAAACACATTGTGAGACATTACAACAATCTTACAGCAGTCTGTCATTCATAATCTGAGAATATATTTACACTGATTCTTGAAGTATGGGACAAAACTGTCTACAGAACTGAAAAACTTCAAATGCACAGAGGCTTTATTTTGGATTAAACAAATACTTTTATTCAGCTAGGACGCATTAAATTGATCAAATGTGCCAATAAAGACAAAAGATTTCTATGTCAAATGAATGCTGTTCTTTTGAACTGTCTATTCATCAAAGAATCCTGAAAAAACTTCATCATGGTGTTTACAAAAAAATATAAAGCGGTTTTCAACTGTTAATTTATAATAATAAGAAATGTTTCTTGAGCAGCAAATTAGAATGATTTCTGAAGGATCATGTGACACTGAAGACTGGAGTAATGATGCGGAAAATTCAGCTTTACCATCACTGGAATAAATTACATTTTAAAATATATTCAAACAAATATTACTGGTTAATATTGGTGAATATATATTTAATATTTGTGTAATACAGTAATATTTGTGAATATATATTCACAATATTACCAGGGTTTTTTTACTGTATTTACCAAATTAATGTAGCTTTGGTGAGCATAAGAAACTTCTTTCAAAAACATAAACAAATCTTTTGAACAGTAATACTTTCACAAATCTGCCATTCAAATACACTTAAGGAACTGAGACTACAGGAAACAGATTTTCAGCTCCAATTGACAAAATAACAACTATAGAATGTGAAGCTTCAAAGACTTACTTGTTTTCTCTTGCTTTGTGTTTGAAGTCATCAATAGCCTTCCTGAAGAGAGTAACACTAAACAGCCCACTGTCTTGGTCTTCAAATAAAAGCCTAACAGAAGAGCAGATGAAAAATCTGAGTTGAGATCAGTCACAGTCACCATCTGAGAGCAGCATTTTCCCTTATTTAACACATATAAGCTTTGAATATTAAAAGCATGAATTCCATTGCAACATGAGGTCTATACTGCGTACTTATTAATGTGAAAAAAAAGAGGATTTCTAAAAAGCATAACTATTTGAAGGTTATTTCTAACTTCTTTCTCATTAAGATTATAATCGTTTTTCCCCCATGTCTGTCAGGCAGGACAGCACTGCCATAGACCTTTTATTCATCTTCCTTAATGCACCGGACAGACAGTTCTTGTCAGGTTCACGGTTCAGTTTCATGTTTTGTTACCTTTTTAATGAGGTATATTCAGAGTCTTGGAAATGTTCTTTGCACTGAATGAAACTTGTCCTTAGTGTTGTTGAATCTCCTTGAAATGTTCCTTGGACTTCACTATGATTTCTTGTAGAGTTGATTACTTCATATTAAGAGCACATAAAGGAGTGCACAATGTTTTGGAAAGCATAGTTTATGTGCAGATGCACATTGCACTGTAATGCCTGTATTTCTGTGTGTCACAGCAATAACAGAAGGGCATGGTTTCCATAGACACTGTCTGCCAAGTTTACATGTCCACCAAAAGCAAAGCGTAATGATGTCAAGCTTTAAATACAGGCGACAGAGAGTTCATAATTCTATACTTTAGGTGAATTAATTTTAAGATCGTCATTGAATTTTACTCACTTTGTGGATCTTGGAACCACCATTTCAGAAAGAGTTTCATATGTCTTCTGCCAGTCAGGATAACTCGTCCTTTTTAGGCCATAAAATTGACAAAAATAAGTTTTGCAAAGGTAACAACATATAATTTAAAAAAATGTGTTCATTCTGAATTATAGAGATTCACCCAAACATGAAAACTCTGTCATCATTTACTCACACCTTCTGCAGAATGCAAAAGAAGATATTCTGAATATTGTTGGTAAGAAAAAAAGTTATGGCTCCCACTGACTTCCACAGAATGGACAAAAAGTTCAATGGAAAAAGTCAATGGGAACAGAAACCGTTTTCTGACCGACATAATTTAAAATATCTTCTTTTGCAATCTACAGAATAAAGGAACAACACGAGGGTGAGTAAATATTGACAGAATTTTTAATCCAATTAAGAAACATTTTAAAAGCACAAAATACAAAGAAGCACAAATACTTCAGCTTGACTTACTTTGGAACAACTACAAGTAGAGTAATAAGGTATTCAGAGTCCAGAACAAAATCCTCCTTCTTGACTATATCAGCCAAACTCCTAGTCAAAATACTCCCTCTAGTGGGCAAAACATGTTATTATGTTAAAAATGATTAATGTCACACAGAATGTCACAAATAAATTAAGAATATGAAACTCCTCCCACTTACACATTCTTTCTCTCCAGACTCTGCAGGTTTCCCTTTAGGCTATTATAAGCTGAAGCTCTGGCTTTAAGATCATTGTCAATCTGACTCACTTGCTAAGAACAGAGAACCAAAAAAGGAAATTTAATGAAAAATAAATTACACTCCTTGTATTATAAACAATGACAAAATAGTTTAACATGCGTCACCTTGGACATGATCTCTGAGATGTTCTTAAGGGACTGTTTGATCGGATACTTGGCCATATCCCAGTGAAACCGTGTAACATATGTGACCAGATCAACTGTATGGAAACAATTATTCATTATAGATATTTATAATTATATAAAATAAGATTTATGAGTTAATATACTAGGACATTCAACTATGACTGACTACCCTAGTGAAAAAATATTTACTAAAATGTATTTGAAATACATTTATTTTGTGCCAAGTATACTACAAATACATTTACATATTTATGTGCTTAATAAAAATACCCTGCAATTGTACTTTTAGTATACTAAACTGGTATACTTAAAGTCTGCTAAATTGGAACAACTAATTTTATGCTTAAAATACCTTGCATTTAAAGACTGATATTACAGAGATCACACGATCCTTATTTATAGTAATATTAAAACTAATTTTAGGCATAATATAGGAAACGTGCATTGTGCAATAAAGAAATACGCCAAATAAATTTTAATTATAATTTTATATCAGTCTTAAGTGATATGTCAATAAATATGTTAATCGATTTGAAGTATACTTCATGTGAAATAAATATATTTTAAATAAATTATGGCATAGGTTTTTTTTTTTACTGGGGTAGACTATGGAGGATTACGTCTTTCTCTTTGAAAAATTGTATATAAATGTTAATATGACATTAGTAGCTGTTAAATGTTTATGTGATTGTGATAAGCAAGAGTAGTATTGTTTGCCATCAGTATTGTGGTTAGTAAGTATGTATTGAGGATTTTAAGTTCACTTGCCTCCATTGGCCAAAAGATTCTCCTGAACTTTATCTCGACTGTCCTCTAACACATCCGCCATGTACTGGGCCACTTTCCTCACTACGCTGGAAAATAACAGCAATAAATAAATAAATAAAAATAACAGCAGCACATATACATTTAAATATATTTAGAGAACTTTAACATTACAGAAGCTTAACAACCCCATTAAGGGAATTTTGGGAACTATGAGACTGTACCAAAAGCAGTGTGTCGTTGATAATGCACAAAATATAATAATATAAAAAATAAAAAAATCAAATGTATAAAGTTTGAAACTGAACACTCTTGTCAAAGTCAAATGTAGACATGAAACCTCTCTACGAAAGAGTCCAGTTTGGCAAGCTCATCAGACAGCCCTACAAGGACATCCAGAGTCCCCACCTGTTGAGAAACACCACCAAACCTCATCAGACAAATGAGAAATGTCAAATATGTGTTGTAAATAAACCAGTGTTTTAACTGAAATAGAAAAGGGCGAGTCATTTACTTTCAGTTCAGGTATGTTGAACTTGTGGTTAGTGGACAGGTTGGTCTGGCTTGTGGCCATGTTCATCTTGTCCCATGTCTGCTGGCAGGTCTTCTCTCCAGGAGCAGAGATCAGCCAGAACTCTGTCATGATGGCTGCTCAAATAATCACGGAAAGGGTCCTAAAACATAGATCAAATTCTCATACCATATGAGACACTTCAGCCAAAAAAACAAACTGTCAAATAAATTACAGAGGTCCTTTCAAGGTTGACCATATGCGCAAATTCACACTTCTCCATTTCACTCCATAAATATGACCAGTCACGAGTCATCAGCAGATAAAAGCTGTCCTGCTTTTAATCGCGTTTAAAAATTGAACACATAATTTTTAATCGTAAGAGTGCACACTAATATGGTTTACGTATCCGTGATGTGATGGGTTAAATGCGCTTTTTTTATGTCTGTAAATATTGTACGAGCAGGGTTTAACGTTACGCCTGTCACGACTATCAAATTGAAATAATTCTTTCGCGATACTTACCGATTATATAAATCACTTCAGTAAACTACAAAATAATCTGTTAATATTGGAAGTTGTTTTAATAAAACATTGCTGAAAATACAGTTAAATGAGTCGCTGTTGAAAACCCTTCGGACAGCATCACACTTCCAGTCAGCTGATCAGAGGAGCTTGTGTTTCGTTCAGCTCACAATGCGTTCACAATGCGCAATGTGGGTATTTTTGACCCCTTCAAATAACGAACATGAATTATAATTAATCAATATTTTTTTTTTTTAAGTAAGAGTTTTAAGATATTTTAGCTGCTTTAAGGATACGTTTTTTTTTTTTTTAATTTTCAATAAAATTTTCAATCAATTATTTTTTTTAAATGCCACAAAACCCGAGAGCCATAAAAAAAGTTTTGTGAATTTTGTTGTTTTTTTACGTCATTACATTGGTTGGAGCATAAGAAACAAATGGTGATAAAACATTTTTGATATACACACGATATAAATAAGAGATTGATTGTGTAGTTAGTCCACTGATCTAGGCTATAATAGAGAATATCAGGTTGCTGATGTCTGGGCTTATTTCTTTATTTTTAAATTACATGAGACTTTGTGACTTCCTGCACTTGCTATACTTTATACTTCAGTACAGTACAAGTACTAAAATTTGGTATTATACTCATTTTCTAATAAATTCAAGACATGACAAACACTAGGGAGATGAAATGGCAACTGAACTAATGAGTGATTCTCTGCTTCCATCTACTGATTATAATGGTAATTTAATGTCATTTTCATCTTAAAAGTCTTTGTTTACCACCAGGAGATACATTTTTTGGCACAGTTTTTCATCTTCATAAATTAATAATGTGAATCATTAAAGTGAGTTTTACTGCACAGCTGACGAACAGCCCTCAGTGGCCTGTAGCACGAAGCGAGATGAACAAACTCAGAGTTTGCTCAAACTAAACATGAACTTACCTGGGTAAAAACTGAAACCAGCTTTGTGCTACAGGCCACTGAGGGTTAAGGGCAGTGTGTAATTTTTTTGTTTGCATTTATATATACAGTACTGTGCAAAAGTCTTAGGCCATTAGTATTTTCACCAAAAAATGGTTTTAAGCCAGTTATTTTTATATATTTTGGTGTAGCGTGTCAGTATATCAGTTTACATTTGCAAACATTCATTTTGCCATTAATTGTAATAATCCAGTGAGATATTTGTATGTTTAGGAGTCTGACAACAGCCTGTATCTGGAATGACATGAAGATACAGAAAAAACTGAGACAGACTAAATCCAGAAGAACTCTGGCAACGTCTCAAGACACTTCAAGAAACCTTCCTGCAAAGCTACCTGAAAAACTATGCGCAAGTGTAACATAGGACAAAAGCTGTTTTAAACAAAAAGGGTGGTCACACCAAATGTTAATTTGATTTAGTTAATTGAAGTTAATTGATAATTAACATCTATTTATGACATTACTTTTGAACGCATCCTCACTTTACAGCATTTTTAGTTAATTGAAGTTAATTGATAAATAAAATCTATTTATGACATTATTTTTTAACGCATCCTTACTTTACAGCATTTGTACACAAGTGCCTAAAACTTTTCACAGTACTGTAGTTTTGTAGCTTAGGTTTCTTGAAGCATCTTGGAGATGTTGCCAGTTCTTCTGGATTTAGTCTGCCTCAGTTTTTTTCTGTATCATGTAATCCCAGACAGACTGGATGATGGTGAGATCAGCTCTCTGTGTGGAGCACTGGCTGTGTTCAAACTCCTTGTGCATACAAATGTCTCACTGGATTATTACAATCAATGGCAAAGGAATGTTTGTAAGGAATATAAACTGATATTTCCTACTGACACACTACAGCAAAAGATATAAAAATAACTGGCTTAAACTATTTTTTGTTGGTGAAAATACTAATGGCCTATGACTTTTGTACACAGTGCTGTATATATATATATATATATATATATATATATATATACATTTTCATGTATTATAAAATACGAATTTATCTGAAATCACCACCTTGTAAATTACTCATGTTTTCTCATGAGATCACATTGTTTCTGTCATAACTGATAACCTTCATCCATACATTTTTTTCTCTAAAAAAAAAATTGTTTTTTTGTGAATCACTTTGTAAAAAATTGCCACCTTGCACGTTTTGTCATTAGATTGGGTTGTTTCCATAATAATAAGTGATGACACATTCCCATGGCAATTCATAACTATTCTATGTTTTGCTGAATTTCTGGCTAATTCGTATGATCTCAATCTGTTCACGATGGTTATGTTTAGGGTTGGACCGCTTACTTTTTGCTTACTAAAACTGTGTTTTTTTTTTTTTTACGAATTACACTGTAGGAATTAATCACCAGCTCACATAATACTTAAGTTTTTGTCATAACTGACAACCTTCATACATACTTTTTTTTTCTTTCTAAAAATGGTACAAATATTGTATGAAATTGTAAAATTGTATGAAATTACACCTTGTAAAATACTTTTCTCATGAGATTAGATTGTTTCTGTCATAATTGACAACACAATATCAAAATTCTGAAGTATTTTACACTTTGAGGAATTGGTTTCTAATTCCTACAACCTTATTTGTACGTTTTAACACTATCTGCTTGTGCTTTACTGACGGTTAGGTTTAGAGGTGGTTCTTAATGCATTTTATTCCCTAAAAGATCATACATTTTTTGTAAGATCAGGTTGTTTCTGTCATAAATGGTGACACAATCCCATGCCAATTTGTAACTATTTTACATTTCATATGCATCTGCTTACACCCCACTGACAGTGAAGTTTAGGATTGATAATCAATATTTTTTTTTTTTAAATAAGAGTTTTAAGATATTTTAGCTTCTTTAAGGATACGTTTTTTTTTTTTTTAATTTTCAATAAAATTTTCAATCAATTATTTTTTTTAAATGCCACAAAACCCGAGAGCCATAAAAAAAGTTTTGTGAATTTTGTTGTTTTTTTACGTCATTACATTGGTTGGAGCATAAGAAACAAATGGTGATAAAACATTTTTGATATACACACGATATAAATAAGAGATTGATTGTGTAGTTAGTCCACTGATCTAGGCTATAATAGAGAATATCAGGTTGCTGATGTCTGGGCTTATTTCTTTATTTTTAAATTACATGAGACTTTGTGACTTCCTGCACTTGCTATACTTTATACTTCAGTACAGTACAAGTACTAAAATTTGGTATTATACTCATTTTCTAATAAATTCAAGACATGACAAACACTAGGGAGATGAAATGGCAACTGAACTAATGAGTGATTCTCTGCTTCCATCTACTGATTATAATGGTAATTTAATGTCATTTTCATCTTAAAAGTCTTTGTTTACCACCAGGAGATACATTTTTTGGCACAGTTTTTCATCTTCATAAATTAATAATGTGAATCATTAAAGTGAGTTTTACTGCACAGCTGACGAACAGCCCTCAGTGGCCTGTAGCACGAAGCGAGATGAACAAACTCAGAGTTTGCTCAAACTAAACATGAACTTACCTGGGTAAAAACTGAAACCAGCTTTGTGCTACAGGCCACTGAGGGTTAAGGGCAGTGTGTAATTTTTTTGTTTGCATTTATATATACAGTACTGTGCAAAAGTCTTAGGCCATTAGTATTTTCACCAAAAAATGGTTTTAAGCCAGTTATTTTTATATATTTTGGTGTAGCGTGTCAGTATATCAGTTTACATTTGCAAACATTCATTTTGCCATTAATTGTAATAATCCAGTGAGATATTTGTATGTTTAGGAGTCTGACAACAGCCTGTATCTGGAATGACATGAAGATACAGAAAAAACTGAGACAGACTAAATCCAGAAGAACTCTGGCAACGTCTCAAGACACTTCAAGAAACCTTCCTGCAAAGCTACCTGAAAAACTATGCGCAAGTGTAACATAGGACAAAAGCTGTTTTAAACAAAAAGGGTGGTCACACCAAATGTTTAGTTAATTGAGTTAATTGAAGTTAATTGATAATTAACATCTATTTATGACATTACTTTTGAACGCATCCAGCATTTTTAGCATTTTTAGTTAATTGAAGTTAATTGATAAATAAAATCTATTTATGACATTATTTTTTAACGCATCCTTACTTTACAGCATTTGTACACAAGTGCCTAAAACTTTTCACAGTACTGTAGTTTTGTAGCTTAGGTTTCTTGAAGCATCTTGGAGATGTTGCCAGTTCTTCTGGATTTAGTCTGCCTCAGTTTTTTTCTGTATCATGTAATCCCAGACAGACTGGATGATGGTGAGATCAGCTCTCTGTGTGGAGCACTGGCTGTGTTCAAACTCCTTGTGCATACAAATGTCTCACTGGATTATTACAATCAATGGCAAAGGAATGTTTGTAAGGAATATAAACTGATATTTCCTACTGACACACTACAGCAAAAGATATAAAAATAACTGGCTTAAACTATTTTTTGTTGGTGAAAATACTAATGGCCTATGACTTTTGTACACAGTGCTGTATATATATATATATATATATATATATATATACATTTTCATGTATTATAAAATGCATACATTTATACAAGTAACTTAAACAAGATCTTAATAAAGAGTCCTTCAAGTTTAAGCTCTACAAGAAAAATAGATGACAGTAACATGTTATTGTTCAGAGGACAAAATCCACTCCAGTGTGATTCTCCGAAAGGAATTTGCTAATGAATCTAAGATAAGAACATAATTCTTTCACGAGTCCTCTGATGTCCACGCCCACCGCTGTCCGAATCCTACTAAGCGAAAGGATGAGCTCATGAATATTAATCAGAGTTGGCTGACGTTTCTTGGAAATCCTCCCCAGAACGACCAGTCTCGAGCAGGTCTCGAGCCAG